GATGTATTTAATGTATGACAATTGGTCCACTATAGTGTGCAAAACCACCCAGCTATCTCTATAGCTGCCATTTCCACGTTGTAATACAGTCTATGGTACTTGTTACCTGCGGCGACAGATGGATTTAAGTACCTTGACAAGAGATAAAAGTCGGGTTTGTTTTCTTTGATCAGACTCCAAAAGTATAATTAGGCCTCACTTTGCCGTGTTGTTTTTTAACAGTAATGATAGTAGATAAATGTTTCCCTAGGGGGTAGACGAATGCAATACAAAACGTGTTGAAGCTTAAGTATAGTGGTTCAGGCATGTAAATGTCAATGCAGTTATCCAGCGAAAATGTCCTAAGCCGTCGTACTTATCACCCGTTTTAAAGATGGCCCATTCTATTCACTCTATATCTTGATGTTTAAGCAGAAATAACAGGTTGGTCGTTAAATGCCGTATAAAATAAGACATGATTAGGTAATACACCAAACAATTATATAAGTCTAAAATTCTTACTAATATTGTAGAACCTAACAAGACACCTTTAAAGAACAACTACGCGTTTGGCCGGTGTTTGAGGAAAATATTTTTGCGACATTTTTAAGCTAAAATTTCATCAGAGGATGCACGTCTATGTCGTCTTGATACAGGAAGTATAGCCATACCCTTCCCATGTGAACGAATGTACTTTCGATAGCACTCGCGGTTTCTTTATGTTCAGCACAACACGAACCTTTACGTACCGATGGTCCATTAAAAATCTATAAAATGCTATACGGAAGAGATTAAGATGAGAGGTGGTCTAAACACACTGTAGGTACACGCATGTCATTGCCAATGTACGTACTTTTTAATGGTTGCCGGTGTACAACAGATACGATGCATTTGGAGGCATGAATGGATAAAGAATAGAGTGCTCAGTAGAGGGTTCTTATACTTATCTTGACTATCCGGTTTTACTGAAAGAACTGTGGGGGTCAAAGAAGGAGGGGGCGTACAACATAATTCATGATTAAGTTTTATTACGCCTTTTTCATTCTTACACATCCCTTTCCGTATACCCTGTTTGGCTTGGCTATAGGCATGAATGAAATTTAGCTCAAAAATTGTTCTAGTATGTGATTTTCTTGAATTCACAATAAAGAGACGAGAACTAATGGGAAACAAACCTCATCATAGCTGCCTGAAATGCATATTATCACGTACTTCTATTACTCTGTACGGTGCATTTATTTAGCGATTACATTCGAGTAGGCAAGACTCAAGATCACGAAGGTAAAATTCCTTCAGACATGATTTATGTAAAAGCCTGAAAATAACGCTGTTAAAACACACCTTCACTACAATAAATTGCTAATTGATTTCCCTTTCCAAAAATAAATATGACATTATATTTGGGTTATTAATGTAGCGTTCGGTAATGTTGAAATTATGCAAGTTGATAATTTACGTTCTATACATTTTAATACGAAGGCACAGAGTGAACACGTGTAGGTATCTGAGAGGGCCCTGGTTTGTGACATATGTCAAACGGATTAACATTTTTATGTTTCCTCTCCCTCTCTCTCTCTCCCTCTCTCTCGCTTTTTTCTCTTGCTCAGTGTGTGTGTTTGTGTGTGTGCTTGAATCTTACAGATGGAGAGACATCAATGGTCCTCTTTCTTCAGGCATGCTGGAAAGTAGATTTCATTGGTTTTGCATGATGTAGGTCGACCACAATAGGGATATCAGAAACAACATAGAATATGTAGAGTTGGATAAGACCACCAAGAAAAGAGCGAGAGAAGACACCAGTGTTCACGCATAATATGAAGAAGACAGAAGAGACTGCAAGAAGTGGTCTGACAGAAAGACACCAAGAATTATAAAACCATCTGCTTATCATCTAACCTGTATAAGTTTTACATCAAGGTCTTGACTCAAAGGCTTACAAGATTCCTGGATGAAGCACAGCAAAAAAAAAAAAAAAAAAAAACCAAAAAAAAAAAACAGTAAACCACACTGGCAAGCAGCTCAAGGAAAAGTGCTATGACTACAACATTCCACTATGCGTTACCTTTGTTGACAATTAGAAAGCTTTCGATTCAGTAGATACTTAGTCTATATTAGAATCATTAAAAGACCAAGGGATTGAGGATGGTTGCAGATTCTCAAAGATACATGTATACTGATTGCTCTGTGACTACACACACAGACAAAGGAAATCAAGACCAAAAAGGGTGTTCGTCAAGGAAATCTCCAAAGCTGTTCACAGCAGCATTAGTAAGAATATTCAAGAGGTTAGATTGACATGAGAAAAGCATAAACATAGATGGTGCCAGCCTAAACCACCTCAGGTTTGCAGATGATATCATAGTGATAGCAGATGAACCAAACCATCTTGAGACAACACCGCAAGTCATAGCAGATGAAAACCTCCCCTGTGGATTAAAAATGAAAACCAGTAAGACAAAGTAAAGTTTGAACCACTAACCATCCCCTGAACAATAGAGTTCAACAGCATGGAGATAGAAGCTGTATAAGAGTATGTATATCTTGAGCAAAGATTCAGCCTCAGCGACAGAACACTGGAGAAAAAAGTAAAAAGAAAGCACATGCAGGGTGGGTAGCATTTACAAAGCACAGAGTCATAGTCAAGAACAACCACCCTACTAGTCTGAAAAGGAAAGTGTTCAATGCATGTGTATTGCCAGCTGTCACCTATGGTTCAGAGACAAGGACAATGAATGCACCCATGGAACAAAAGCTACAAGTAACACAGAGGTCGATAGAAAGAAGTATGTTGAACAACAAGGTATGAGATAGAAAGACCATTAAGTGGATAAGTAAACAGACCAAGGTGAAGGATGTGCTGCTCACAATTGAAGAAATGAGATGGAGATGAGCAGGACATATCAGTAGTAAAAGATGACAGATGGACAATAAGGCTGACAGAATGGAAACCAAGATATGGGCATAGGAAACAAGGGAAGCCTCGGAAGAGATGGATGGATGGATTAGATAAGTACTAAAAAAAAAAAGAAAAAAAAACTGGAAGTGTGAAGCCCGAGACAGAATACACTGGAAGCCGCATGCTGAGGATTTTGTCCAACAGTGGAACACTTGAAGCTCTGAATGATGATGAATAAGGTCAACCAAGTGCAGCTGACCGCGTTTCCAACCGTTTCGTGAGGTGTACTGAATGCCAAGCCGAATAATAAAAAATATGTAGGTTATAGCATGCTGCCTTTGATATGACATCACTTTCTGGTCAAAGGTTCTCCTTGATTACGTCATCCGGGCATTCATTGGCCAGTTCTTGAATTTTTGGAAGTCTGAAAAGACAGGGTTATTCACCTTTGTCATATTCTTGAATATTTGGCATTCGTCTGAATACCTACAACTTATACTTTGATAAAAAATGGGGTTTTTGTGTCTCGAAGGACATTGACATCTGTTTAGAGTTGTAGCACATCTTTTGGTCTGTATAACTCTAATTCCCAACCCGGCAATCAACTGTCTTCGAACTTTTTTTAGCTTCTACTTACCTACTCATGATATATTACATCAATCAATGGCATTTTTTAAGTTAACTACCTTTCGCAACTTGGTTCCAAAAGAAAATGTGACAAGCATACTGAATGCTTCGGGGTTGACTATTGATATTTGTCCTTGGTTTATGTTATTTTACTATATGGGCAGAGAACGATGATGCTTCCTCCTCGTCGTTGCATCATCTTTGTGGGTCTGTAGGTAGTGTTGGTTAGGGGGTTTAAGGGTTAAGCTCGGGGGAGTTCCACTCTGAAGCAAAAACCTTATCTAGGTTTTTTGGTTGGGGTCAGAAAGGGGGTTTACTTATCCGCTTGTTCAGTAAAGAAGGCCAGGGCTACTTGAGATTTCTGAAGACATACCTATGTTTGTGATACCTTAAAGGTGGAACGACCCTTTTAGCAATTATTTTGATGTTTCTCTACTGTTCGTGTATCGGTATGGATTACTGAGCTTGGCGTTTTTTTTCTATGTTAGGTTCCTCAAAGCACATTGCAATATGAGGTTTATTTAAGTACTAATAGTTATAAAAACATTCGTTGATATCAGTGCATAACATAACAAATGCTTCATGAAACCAGTTTTATTTTTTTCTTCGCTTTAAAAGTAGTCCCATGATCATTGACGCCATGTTAAATTCTGCTCCCACATTTCTCATGGCCTTATTGCTAGCGTTGTTGTTGTTGTTCTCCTTTGATGTAAATGATGTGTAAACACGGAATGTTGCGTTCGTTTCGGTTGACTGACATCATAATTTATGTGTGTACATGTTGATGTTTATCACTTTGGTGAGTCACATTTGCTTTTTTTGGTATCCCAAGTTCACGAATTGTTTGATTAATGTTTGTCTGGATTAATGCGAGTCTTTGAGGTTTGTTTGCTGACATATTTTGATTTGTCGTTTTATGGGTATTGATACCTTGAATTTGATTATTATTTTAAATGTAGAATATAATACAGACTGCTGTGTGTATACAAAATCCATTTATGATAATTCTTTTAATGGTTTTAATTTTTTTTCATTTATTAACAATTCAGCACCCAGAGAAAAGTATTCAGCTTCATTTTGGCCTTAACCTTTAGGCCTTTTCCTTACGTTCAATAATGGCATGTTTATGTAGGCAGTAATTTAAGTCATTATTCAACTTAGTCACTATTTATTCCACAACACTGTCCCCAAAAATGGGACTGAAGAATTTGGTAACGCAGTTTTCTTTCGTCCATTGAGACTGGGAAGTAACTTATTTATTATTTCTTAAATTTATTATTTTTATTTTAAAAGCAAAACAATAATCATTGAATATCTGTATAGGACATCGGACGTACATGTATTTTTTTTCAAAGTAAAGATGGTGTAAACCTTGCATTTTTGTCTAAATCTTCATTTCTTTGAATGATTCAATGTGACAGCTGAAGACATTTAATTTTTTGCCTTTGGTATTATGAAAAATGAATAAAAATCAAGTGGTATTTTTCTCTTCTTTCAGACAACACGAGCTGTACCACGGGAAGGTCGAATGCACATCATATCCGTGGATGAGTTTGAGAGAATGGTAGATTCAGAATGTGAGGTAAAAACAGATTTAAAGATGTAAACTGCTGTTAGAGCAAAAATATTAATTCATTTGAATAGCATTGTAGAGTAAAGGTTACACTACTTGTTTACTTTTCTGAGTCGTAAATATTGACTCTGGTTTGATTTTATCTTTAGTTTGTGGATTTGAACGGATTTTTTTTAAAATCAGACTTAAGTCATGTGATAATATATATATATACCAACGTTCACATTTGTAATCAAATCTTTTTCGTTACTCCAAATATCAACCAAATCTTATGCCTTTTCCAGTTGAATTTCTAAAAGCCTAGGACAAACATACTCTTACATAATTTTTTTTTACGTATTACAATTTAAGGTCATGGAGATCAGTTTAAGTCATATTTACTCAGAATATAACCTGATTGTACTAAACATGCCCAACCATTCACATTGTAGAATGCACCAGATGATATAGAGGTCAAGGTCGAGGGCGACATTATGCTCAACAAAGAAGATGCGTGCGCATATGTCGAGGACTCTCTTCCACTTTATAAAAAGAAAAAGAAACGAAGAAAAAAGAGAAAAATTACCCCCGTGGCATCCAAACGGTGGGATTTACGTGTACCGATACCTTTCATGTTCGACGGATCGCACGGTACGTAATTATAATAACTATAAGGAGTAATTTCTCCTCTAACATGGGTTCATCTGGTTTTCCAGTGACGGATTAAAAGAAGGGGGTCAGGGAATTCTGACCCCCCCCCCTTCAATTTCTGGTCCCCTCTTGAAATTAGAATTTTTACTAGCTGAACCATAGCTACCGTACCAAATGACTCTGTTTGCCCTCTAAAATACCAAAAATGTCAAGGCCCTTCAGCGGGCCCCAAGCCCCACGTCAAATTGGGCGAGAGGGTTGGCTTAGCATCCGCGGACACCCCCCCCCTTTCAAATAATACTGGATCCGCCCCTGTTTACCCTACCCTTAACAAAATGAAAAGTTATTAGGTATATTAGCAGCAAATGCTTGGCAAATTTACAATAACTTAATGCAAATTAGCAGAAAATTTGCAGCAAATTTGCGAGAGAGTGCGGTAGGCCTGGTATTTTGCTAAGCGTAGTGCCCTATGATTCTCGGCTGATGATATCGTTAGTTCTCCCATGCATTCGGTACATAGTAAAATGTGTTTCCTAGAGGGATTTAACATTTTGCTAAAAGCACAGAACAGCTTTGTACCTTAAAATTTCTATTTTTTGTTTCGGTGAACATTTTTTTGATGATGTTTATTTTCGCCATTCAGGTCCGTATAAGGTCATGCATTGCTTGTTTGCTTCCAAGTGTTGTGGTATGACAATTTCGCAATTCTTTTTT